ATATTACGAGTGGCAAAGATTTATTTACCATTTTAGAAAAATTTCACTCAATATTACCAAAAAAATATCAATTCGGCTTGAATCTCTGTCACCTAATCTGTCACTTTGACTTTTTGAATGTAAAAATATGACTTTTCATATGCGCCATCCGCAAAATGTGTATGAAACATTCGACACCGTCCGCAAATTTGTATGAAACATCCGCCACCATTCGCAAAATTTGTAAGAAACATTTGCGACCATTCGTTTACATTTGCAAAATATATAGGAAAAATTCGCTCGCATATGGATCATTCGCTTAAGTCGGAACCCCCTAGAGTTCTTATCGCTTCTGAAATTCGTGTAACCAGGAGTAGAATGGGATTTCAAAATTTAAAAAAATAATCTAGGGGTATATATTCTGACTTTCAAGCTATGTGCGTTCTCCTTTTTCAGATAAATTCGGTAAAATTAAAACTGTATTCCCTAGAATTACGAATATGATTTCGTTTAAAATTGAATTTACAAATATTCCAATCAGCAAAAATCCGAAAATGAATGAAAATAATACGTCATTATTTTGGATTTAACTAAAAAAGACATCGACAAACGACATCACTTACTTCTCGCCATATTTTTGTGGAATAAATAAAATGCAAAATAAGTTTTTTTTCTCGTATTTGTATACCGATGTGGGTTTTTTTTTATTTGGAAAAAAATTAGGAATAGATGACAGACTCTTATAAAAAATGTGATATTAAGAGAGAGATTAGGATTTAAAATCTTATATAAATAACAGTAATATCTTTACGATTTATAGCAAAAAAAGAGCTTCACTGCAACAGCAATAAATATATTTTTTTATATTTAAAATGCAAAACAAAAAAAGATAACTTGGCTTAGATGATCCATCAGCAGAATTTGAGTCAAACGTGGAAACTCGAAATAGTATTTGTGTTTGAAGGTATTTTTTTTTTGGGGGGGAAGGTGAACTTTTTTCCTTTGCTCTTTTTTCTCGAAACGCATTTTAACAAAAGAAAATTGATATGAGCTTCTTAAATTCAAAAGATTGATAAAGTAACAATAAAAAAAATATGAACTTTATTGGCTGGTTGAGTGTGTTTTTTCTTCTCTGATACACGCTCAAACATTGACGCAAAGGAAATGAAAGTAAAAATCATGAGATCCGATAAAGAAGCATGCAGATCAAAAACAGCGATTTATGTTATTCAATTGATCGATTTCAAGAAAATAGATATATGTATTTTCTTTTAAAAATTAAAACGAAAAGAGAATACACATGTCACATTCAATGTCTACATAACTATTATTTTTCAACACGTTCAATGAATTTGTAAAAAAAAGTTTTTGTTTTTCTTGTGTTTGTGTGTGCATGTGTTTTTTTTATCTATGTGTAAAAATTACATCGAAGACTGACCTTGCAATTTTTATAGCAAAATCAAATACTGAATTCTCCCCCAAATTAATGAAGTTGACAAATTTTAACTTAAAATAATTCGGTTTTTAGTTTAAAGTTTGCAATAGAAACAAAAAAAAAAAAAAGAGAATGATTTTAGGTGCTATTTCCGCACTCTTTAAATTAATTTCTGTTTCCATTCCCATTATTTTTGTTTGTTTGTTTTCTTGCTATTTGTATCACATTCAATTATTATACAATTAAATTAAACTAGTAACCTTCTACATTTGCTTTTTTTAAACTCTCTGTTATTAGCTAAATTTTATACATTCTACAATGAGGAGTTAACTAATAGCTTATACAAATGGTACATACATTATTATTATAGATTTCTTTCACTTAACTTTAACAGACATTTTTATGAAACTAGCTAAATAGTTCGAGGTGTATATAATTTCTGGTTCTGGTTTTGTTTTTGTTTTCATTCGTATTCTTTTTTTTGCTTTAAATTTCGAAACAACCGACGAAATTTCAAGGAAGATTAAGTTGACTGATGATAGAGATTTGGAGATAGAGTTAAATAGATTGGCTTAAAAATGGTTTTCTTAGAGAAAAAATCGATTCAACTACATTCAAGTGTTTTTTTTTATAAATTTGAAAATGTTGTGATAAAGAAACCGTTATCATGTTCTTCGTCTAGTTCAATTTTTTTCTAAAACCCTTCAAGATGTAATGCGAAGAAAACAAAGATCATTTATTTAATTTGCATTTTTGGAAACAAAAAAACCGATGAAATTCATTTGTAATGTTTGGTGTCGCCAGTCCAAACAAAAACTCTAAATGCGTAAGTTTGGAGCGATATTTGTTTTAACCATTTTTATATAAAAATAAACATTTTTCATGATCATACAAATAATTATGTCTCTTTGTTTGTTAAACCATTTTCAACATTCAGAGTGTGAATTTCCCGAGTTTGATTGCGTTATATGCTTCGGTAAAAAGGCTTTCAATTAAATAATAAACGATTTTTTTTTATTTGCTTTGACGGGCTAAGGATTGGAATGATTGTCTTAGGTTAAGTTTCATCAAATATATCGTTATTGCCTTTTCCGATTTATCTTCCGTATTTGACTCACTGTAATGAGTTTGTATATATATGTATGTGTGTTCTAAACATTCAGCCACCATAATTTTGGTAAAATTCACATTTTGCGCTACTGAAACCGTGACAAATAGTTAGTAATTGGAGAAGAAATCGTTTGTATGTATGTATATATAGTTCAGTGTCTTTTTTTATGTTCTTATCGTTTGTTTCAAATTTTATAAAATATTCCACGTGAAATACATCAAACATAAATAACAATTTTGAAGAAATGCATTACATAAATAATTGTTGAAAATTAAATATAGTATAATATCATTTAAAGATATTATTATTTGTTTCATTTTCATTAAATTAATGGTTTTTTTTTGTAAGATTTTGTTTGCAGTACTTCCTCCCAATATTCAATGTGAAAATACAAATAAATTGAATTTCATCATCATTTAAATAGTGTCAGGTATTTGGATATCTAACATCGATCGAATACAATAGTGCGTAATGATGTTATGAGTTTGTTTATCATTTTGTTATAATATAAAATCGGTAACTTGGCTTTGTGTTGCATTCGATTGTAGTCCATCGTTTAGTTGATTTGATGAGGTAGCACGCATACAACAATCGACAGTTTGACACGCTTGTAATCCTTGTTGTATCACGCAAACAGAACGACGCTGTTGAGCAGCAACGTATTCTAATGTTTTATCGATGGCTCGCAAACGTTTTTCCAAATCAGTTGTCGCTAAAATCTCCACCTAATGAAATATATTGAAAGAGAGAGAGAGAGAAAATAAGACCAGTTGACATGGAAAAGTTAAAGAATAATATAGATAATGGTGTTTCTTCAATTACCTTAAGGTTTTGATTGAGTGGTAGTAGCGCTATAATATACCATGCCCATGATGGGCCATCGGTGATCGATTCCAAATTCTTTTCATTTCTTGGCATTGAACCGAAACTTTTATGAATTTCCGTATGAATGTGTGATGGTAAACTATTGTACCAATCGATGGCTTTTTTATAAATAGTCTCGTTAATTAATTTAACAACATCTAAACGTTCATCGCTAATTGCTTCGTCACAAATATATTCAACTTTGGCAGTGTCATAACCATCTTTTTCATTACGTTCAATCACCCGAAATCGTTTGTAACCGATTGTACTGAGAATGGAACAACCGTTGCCAAGTAGTACACAATCTTGGATATTTAAAATTGTACCAAAATCCGAATAGCCACCATTCGCATGCGGTTGTACGATGCCAAATTGTCGTTGACCACTTTCAATCACACGTCGGATCATGAGACGATGCCGTGGCTCATACACATACAATGGGCACGGTACATTTGGATATGCTGTTGTACAAATGAATACCGGCACCGATGGTTCTTTTTCAATTTCCTGCAATTGACGCTTTCGATACGCTAACGGTATGAAACGTTGCATTGCATTCTCTATAAAACGTGTTACGGCCTTTTTTGATGATGCATAAGATGCTAAACTATAATTGGTCCCTGAAGATGATGTACTGTTACGAATTGAATTATTAATACGATTCACTGAATAATCCTCTATCAATGACGTCTTGCATAACGGGCAACATGACGAATAATCCAAACATCGATCCAAGCACACCTGAAACAACAACAAATTCATAAATAAAATGATGTGAGAACAAATTTAATAGAAATTTTTCATAAAACGAAAGAAAAAAAAGCATTCTATTCGATGGGACGAGGGTTTACATAATATGAACTCAAGCAATTCGTTGCTGTTCTAAATCACGTTCACCCATGCTATTTATAGTGCACGATTAATCGTGGCGAATCAAATACATTAAATCACAACACGCAAGATCGAGTTTTTGCACGTTTTCATTCCATTCTATACACATTGTATTCCATAGCTTACCATGCAGTATGTATGACCACAAGGTGTAACCACCGGTTTCCACAGTGTGCGATAGCACAATACACAATCAAAATCGGATAAATCAATTAGCGATGGTTGCACATCGAGCAACATTGATGGGGCTTCTGCAAGAAACAAGAATTGTATTTAACATTATTTACTCATTCTTATCATGCCAGAAAATAATGATGCGCTCGCTCACGCCTGTGTGTATGTAAGCAAAATACGTTTTTTTTTTAATACTCACGTTTGGCTTTATAAATTTCATACTGTATTTGATCAAATAGTTTTGAAATGCGTTTGTCCATATTTGAAACATCATTTAGACTAACAATTGATTCGTTTGTGAACATTGTGTCGGCCAATTGATTTAGATAAACGATTTCCTGTAGTTTATCATCGTTTTCGGTATTATAATGTTTTCGACGAAATCGCTTTGAGGTTTTCAAAAATTTCAACGATTTTTTATATGGAAAGCAATAATTTTCTCGCTCCGAATGACGGAATTTTGTTTGCAGGCCGCCCTTCACCTTCTCGCTTGAACCATTGAAATCAACAAGACACGCATCGGCATAATGTAATGCATCTGATTGAAAACACTTATCATTATACAATTGTGGAAAATGTTTCAGCGTTCGCAAATGACATCGATTCAAATATTCATGTACCGACGATGATTTCGTTGTTAAATTGCAATTTAACAAAAAATTTTGCAGCAACTGGAATTTTGAAATACAAACAAACATAAAATTGTATTTTATTATCGGTGCACAGCCAAAGAAGACAATTCTTACAACAAAAAAAAAAATCCCCAGCATAAAAACTCGCATCGTCAATTCTAATGCGCAGTATGTAAGCAGGGACTGTTTTCGAATGATTGTTTTCTCGTTTTTTTTTTTCAACTCACCTTTGCTACTTCCAATCGATTGCTTTTTGAGACTGCAGTCAAAGTCCGATTGTAATGTATCGACAAACAATACGATATGATGGCATCATCAGTTAAACCTAATGCTGAGAATGTCAATGCCCGATATAAGTATGCCTGTAAATTTTAAGAATAACAATTTTATTGGTTTTATTTAGTTATTTTTATTTGAGCCAATTGAAGCTTTACGTTTAAATTAAGTGCCAATTTCATTCAATGAGATGACGTAAGAATATTTTATTTATATATACTTACATTGCACGACGTTGGTTGACATTTGATCGCACTTTCGGCATCCGCCAACGAACTCCGGAAATGACCCAGCCGATATAGTACTTCAGCGCGCAGTAATAGCCCATTGTAATTTTTTGGACCTGGAAAAACCGAAAGCAAAATAAAATTATTACTTTTTTTAATGATTTTGCTTTTTAATTGTCAATTCTTAGTATTACTGTAAAAAACAGTGAACATAAAAAACCAAAAAGTTCATCGAACGTCGTGCTTATTCTTCGAATTATTCATTTGAGCTGAATTTTTTCTTCTTCAATGATTAATGATTGTTTGACATTGCACGGTTGAGAGTTTATTCACCGCCTGCATACTTTGATGCCTGACATGATTTTTTGCAAAACAACACGAAATGGAGAAGCTGTTTACATTTTTTATAAGAACGCAGACCACAAATGCGACGCAATTCAAACTAAATATGTATATTATTTACGTACGGTAGCAAGGTCTAGAAAGTGATCGCGAAACAGACATACAGACAAAAGGAAGAGATGGGGAGGATGAGAGAAATTCATACACCATAAAATATACCATGTTGCTGTATATTTTAATGCGTATTATTTAAGTACAAATGAAACCTTGCAACAAAAAACGGTATATTATCGTAATGTGTTTGTCCAATGTATGCGATCTACTTAAAGCGGCGATGTCTATTTTTAGAATTGTTCACGCGATATATTAATTGTCCATTCATATTGTTGCATTGAATATTCGGTGCTTTAATGTTATGTCTTCTTTCTCCAATATTACTGAAATGTATTTTTGTGTGTCGTATCAGAATATGTTTTGTAAAAGTGATTTGTGTGCGACATTGTCATTGAAACACATAGACGATTAGAAGTCAGAAAACGTATTTTTCTACTTTTGAACCGAGTCCAGAGGACAAATGAAATGTCGTGTATAAGCCGAAATGAACCGGCGACACCGTCTACAACAATGACAAATTCGTGTCAGTCATCATCATCGTATCAGCGTGGAACTTTGATGTATAGATGCCATATTTTTTTATATATGAATAGCTTGGAGAATTTTCTGTAAACAAAAACGGTGTGTGTTGCGAAGATTTTTTTTATGTAAATGCAATTTACTAAATGGGTAGTGGTTTCAATTTCTTAGCTTTTTTTTATCAAATCAACCACAAGTGAATGTCGTTATCAATAAAGACCTAATTTATTGCCACAAAAATAATAACAGTGACAACCAATTTGAATATTGAATGAAATCACGCCGTTGTGTGACTGCTCCGATAAATGTGTATACCTGAACAAATAAAATGAATTGAATTGTTTTATAATTGCTATCAACAGCGACAAATGAAATTCATTGACGTTTATCTGGAATGTACTGCAAAACAACAACGTTCAAGGGCATCAAGTGAAAGCATGCACATACTCAACGTCGACACTGTTGCATTCTTGCTCAATAAAAATCGCGCTTTTCAATGTGAATCACAACAAAATTTTCATTGTCAAATAATCATCAACGATATGATTAATGCCGTTGTTTTGCCGTCCTCTTCATCATCGTTGTCGCCGTCACCGTTGTTGTTGTTGGCGTATTTTTCAATGATTATTGCCGACGTGCCATGATTAGACGATGGTATTAGATCATTAAATTTAGAAGAAATGAAAAAAAAGGCACAACAACATCGAATTCTATTTAAATTTGAGTGGCAAGACACTTGTTGATGGTTATTGCATTAACATAAAACCAAATGAAACCGACTCGAACTGATGATTGAATGCAACACATAGCATGTGTGCGGCCGCTTACTACATTCGATGATGCACTTTGGGCGCAGACAACATTCCGTCTCTTTCGCTCCCTTTCGTTGAATCACTTGTTCGTTTCGCTTGCCATAACATACTTAACAATAGCATCACTTTAATTAAAATCTATTTGAGGACCTTTTTTCAGATTAAACTGTCTGTTGTATCGTTAGCATATTGCCCGCAATTTTTTTGCTTTTGTTTTTGTTTTTTGATGCGTTTGTCTGGCATTCATGTTCTGTTTGCTTTGCATGAAAGTGAAACGGGATAGAGATCAGGAACGAAAGCAAAAAATACCGTCGCACAATTGAGTGTGACAACGATGATGATTCTTTTGCATGCATGAAGGTAAACAGACTCTCCCGCTCACTCATTTACGGTGCTCTCTTTTTTCTTCGTCATCAGTCCATTGATGTCCTTTCTCTCTTCCGCATATTTTGAATATGTTGTTCATCGGGCGCATGAAATGCAATCAACGATATGTAAGACTCTATTGAAATCGTTTTAAATATTAGATTACGATTCGGCACCCATTTACACACACACACACACACGCTATGATGTACAAATCAAACATTAACAACAACAACAAAAACGGGTATATACACATACACAGCAGCGGGGGGAACAGAGAACAGTGCAAAAGACTGCATTACATTAGGTCACACTATATATTTTATTTTTATTTGACGATTGCATCAATCGTGTACAATGTGCAACGGCAGCAGCATACACAACACCAACATTGCCAACATTAACAGAATAAAACCGAGACTGACTGAATATTCATGACATAATCGTTTATCTGTGGCTTAAAATGTCATTTCTGTATAAATGTGCAATTAGACAACGAAACGATATTGTTGATCGCATACTCAAGCGCGCCGTTATTATGGAATTTTCTTCGTTTTATTTTCATCGTTGTCGTCGCTGTGCTCTTTCTTTGTTCAAATGCAATAGAAAAAAGTCACTTTAGATTTATTTTGTAGTCACTTAAGTGGCGCATCTTATATGATGGAATAAGTACCAAAGCCAGACACATATATAAATTGAAACCTTTTTGAATGAAGAAACAAAAACAAAAGAAAAAGCAAAACAAAATTGAAGGCGGTAAAAACCATAGTCTGACACATATGAGAAAAAAGAAACATTTTGGACTCTATAAAAGCCATTTTCGTACGTACGGAAATTTGAATACCGCTTTGTATCCCGTTAGTTTTTAATGCAATTAATGTGCGTTATTCTTAAGGCGTTCTCCCATTCTTTGAATCTTGATGTATTGTTGGTGTTCCAACCGCCGTGTGTGTATGTGAGACATGGATTGCTGATTAAATGCTAAATCGATGCTACGATATTTATAGACTATGGCGTTATGATTGTGGTCGCATATTGGGCATATTGAATCGCATGACTTTCGAACAGAGGCACAAATCGAATGTGTGATATGGTGCGCAACCATCAACTATTACTTAATTGAATCCCTCCCATTTACCATCTAGTTCTCGAATTCGTAAACCGATTTTCGGTTTCATAACAAAAGACACACAAAAGATTGAATCAGTCGCTCGTTATCTCATATAGAAAGAAGAAAAAAAAGCATACGTATCGAACGAAGAAATGCCTTCTTGTGCTTACAAAAATCACGAAATACAATTATGAAATGATGTCTGTCTCTTTCTCGGTGCTTTTCGGTTTTGTTTTTGCTGTAATAACATTTAAGCCCATAATGTAACTTATCCATAAATAATTCTCGTTGGTGTGGTAGCACTGTGCTTAATCATCCTGTTTATTCGATTAAGCAGTCTGCAGTTTTTTTTTTGTCATTTTACTAAAGTAGAATTCTGGCTTTCCGTATAAACTTTATTTTTTTCTCCTTCGATTTATTTACCGCACATTAACAAATACTCTCTTTCAACATCAATTTTAGAAATTCAATTTTTTTTTTGTCGTTTGTTTGTTTTATTCCTTTTCATCGTTTTCAAATTGAAATTTCAACAGAATTCACTTTTCAAATTAATCATGTCGAATATTTTACGTTTATGATTTGGTTGTGTATATTTTTATTTTTGGTAATTTTTGCTCCACATATAAATTCCATTTTGGAGGAGCGCATTAACGGCAAAATGTGTAAACATTGCAATTCTGACTATTGAGAGAGAGAGAGAGAGAGAGAGAGAGAGAGAGAGAGAGAGAGAGAGA